CTTAAAGAGAAAAGACTTTTCTTTAAAAAAAAAAAAAAGTATTATCTTTAAAAAAAAAAAGAAGGTTTGATTCACTTAAAGGAATACCCTTTAAGGCAAGGGATACTTGTAATAAAGTTTGGTACACTATTACTTGTCAATGGGGCCCATGTTGAGGCTGAGCAGTTGTTTGGCTTACTACTTGTTTTTTGGGGTTTTTTTTTTAAATTTTTTTTATTTATTTGAGAGAGAGAGAATGAGAGCTAGAGAGCACGAGAGGGAAGAGGGTCAGAGGGAGAAGCAGACTCCCTGCTGAGCAGGGAGCCTGATGTGGGACTCGATCCCGGGACTCCAGGATCATGACCCGAGCCGAAGGCAGTCGCTTAACCAACTGAGCCACCCAGGCACCCCTGGCTTACTACTTGTTAATAATTGGATTTGACTAAGTAACAGTCTACGGATTGAGAATATAGCAAACATCAATTCTGGGAGGATTATTGGTGGCAAATTCTGTTTTTAGGTTTATTGAAAACACCCCAAATTCCCTGCTTTGTAGGCTCCACTCATTCAATCAATATTTGTTGAGGACCTATTATGTGCCAGATGCTGATATGGATGCTGGGGATAAGCAGTGGAAAAGACACTCCACTGCCCATGGAGCGTACATTCTCTAGAGAGAACACAGACAACGGCAGTATACAGGGGTATGAAGAAAGAAAAGCAAGGTTACAAATTATGAAATGATGGAAGAGAAACACCAACTATTTAGATCACTGGCAGCCTCTCTGATGACGTCTTATTTGAACAACAATCTGAATGCTGAAGATGATTTGATTTTATGGGGAAAAATTGATATTTTACTTTGCTAAAAGTTAATACTATTTGCTCATATATTGTGTCCTATGTGTATTTAATAACCCACACTCCTCTGGCTTCAGTTATATGACAAGGGTTTGGGATAAAGAAAGTGGGGGATTTTTCAGGTCTTTCTGTTGAGTTATTTTTTGGTTTTTATTATTAGGTTTTTAATTTCAATACAAACCCAGGACATGAGATCTTAAATTATAAGCATAAGCATTATGGTAAAAGAGGTTACTGAGCATAGAAGACAAAACTTAACCTCTGAACTCAGATTTAGGCTCAAGTTTGGACCTGGATCCACAGGTTTACTATCTGTGTGGCCCGAGACAAGTCACTTAACCTTTCATAATTCTGTTTTCATCTCTACAGAGGCAAGATGATTCCATTCTGTCTTGCATAATTTAAGGTAATTAAAAAAAAAAAACAACCCGGTATACAGAAGGTACTCCAACCAAGATAATTCCATTCTGTCTTGCATAATTTAAGGTAATTAAAAAAAAAAAAAACAACCCGGTATACAGAAGGTACTCCAACCATCATAACTATAATTTTTACCGTGTATGTGAAAGCACCGTGCACAGTGTCTGATCCCATGTAGGCGCCTGTTGGTTTCCTTCCTATTTATTTACATTATCAGTTTCTCTGTAATTTTTCATTTGTACAGATAAACAAGAGTTGATGGTATGTGAGTTTCTGCCTGATAGAATTTCATAGGACTCATTTCATCAGTGCATGATTAGCTTCAAAGCTTCGAATCTAACCCAGTTTTGAGATAACTGGGAAATGAAACTAAGTGGAGGGAACAAATGTAGCATTGTAAGAGACGCGAAAGTCAGCTTGAGGTTGTCTGATGTTCTTAAACTAACATCATCTTTCATCTCCTATGCCCTTCTTCCCAGATAATAAGAGCTGTTCACTGAAAGTGCTGAGATAAACTAATGGGGAACAGGATACTACAAAAGACATTTGAAAGAGCCCATGTAATTTACTGCATGTCTGGTTTGTTTTACTTTCCAAAGCCTTCCTGTTGCTCAAGGAAATTTGTCTCCTCTGGCAACCTTCGGCCCTCTTTTGGCCGGGAGTCCAGAAAAAGCATTTGAGGGCAGGTAAACAGATGCAAAGCTCTCTGAGTGAGGAGTAAGTACAGGCCTTGCTTCCTGTGTCACATCTGAGGCATAAACAAAGTACCCTTTAGGATTTGTTTGAGAGAATTATCCCCAATGTAGGCAACCAAGAGGCTGCCGGTGCATTCAGATAGACATAACTCCCAACATGTTCTGAAGGTAATTTACATGAGTGAACCACTAAAAGCCTCCTACTCAATGAACTGTACCCCTGGGGAAAAGCTATGCAGGCCCGGATCAGTGTGGGAACAACATAAGGGTGTTCTCGGTGCCAAAAAGGGGATTGGGCTAGATGGAAAATCCCCAAAAAGGACCATCTGGCAGCATAAATTATCCATTTAAAATGGCTGGTGTGAGTTAATGACACCAAAGTCACCAGGCACATGTACAACATCCTTCGGTTGAGTTTTAATGTCCCCTCAGGCCCTCTTTCAATTATGACTTTCTATGCTGAATATGGCCAAATGTAAATGCATCCACTGTCCTCCCCCAACCCCCAACACATATACCATGAAACTGCATTTTTTCTGTAATGCAACAGGGAGAGGGGATGGAGAATCAATCCAGGAATATAGTATAATTGTGGGGGATTTCTCTATTATGCCATATATATATAGTATCATTACCCAAAAAGAATTTGGCCATTAAACTTTCATTATTTAATGACTTCAAAGAATCTAGGCATTCGGATGTTAAAATTTATGATTTGAATCATAAGGTGCAAACAGGAATAGAATCACTCTGAAAAAAAGTCACTAGGTCAAAGAACCCTATATTCAACCTGCCTCCCTCTACCCCCAATATGCCCCCCCCAAATATCTACAAGGACCCAGAGAGGAGTCTCCCAGTGGGGGAGCTTCATGTACATCAACACAGTAAAGCAGCTTCTATGTGTATAAAACCTCATTAGCACACACAATACTCAAGCACCATGTACCAAACCTATGTATTTCGATTCTGATTTTCACTGAAGCAGGTGAACTGGCTAGAACTCTAATTAGTCTTTTAAAAAGGGTTCAAAGAAGTTGTACATCTTTTAATTTTTTAATAGCACATAAACTTTTCATTGGCACTCCCCTGAGATCTTGCTGATGATGCCGTTAAAGCCGCAATGGGGAGTCAGCATTTTCATTTGCATTTAGGCCTGGCTTTATTTCTTAGCCACTCTCGGTGAACTGGCATGAGCTAAGTGTGGTGCTAAGCAGATATGTATGACCTTTATAGAAGCTCCACCACACCTTGAGTGCTGTGTTGGTAATAATTACAAATAATGAGAAGATGGAGGCTAATCTCCCCATCCCTGCACTTCCCCTATCACCATGTAACGATCTCCTTATGCATCTGTGTCCTACCCCCAACTGTGAATTCCTTGAAAGCCAAAGCCAGAGTCTTCCCATTCACCCTTCCGTTCCCAGAACCAGGCAGAAAGTTCCCAGTGAGGATGGCTGAATGAGTGAGTGAGAGTATTAAGTAGAAGCAAGACAAAGTGAAACTTCTGCATTTTAGTAAAGGGAGCAAGAGAAAGGACTTGGCTAGTGGGGCCTGAGCTTTTGTTTTTAATTATCATACAATAAAACTGCAGGGGGGATGGAAGGTATCCATTTCTATGAATGTTAACACATGTATAGATTCCTGTACCCACCACCACAATCAGGATACACGACAGTTCCATCACCCCAAAAATCTCTCTCATGCCGTTCCCTCTGAGGATTGTTTTTTTGATATGTCAGGGAGGAGAGACAGGAGTTAAGACCCGAAGACAAAAGGGTTAGTTCAGAAATCTCCTTGGTGCTTGTCTGTTCTTGCAAGGAATCACTCTGAGACCTAGGTGGGGGAGAATGATCAGAAAGCATTTTGTTTCAACCTTCCTCTGTGCTAGGTAGGTATAATTCTTAGATGGGTTGTGTTATGTTACCTTGTTTAAATCTCAAGAGCATTGAAACAGCTATTAGTATTGACATTATAAAAATGGGGACACTTATGCTCAGAGAATTGGGTCCTTTGCCTATAATCCCACAGCCAGCAGGACCAAGAGTCAGGATTACACTCCATCCTCTCTACCCAATTGACTTTGCAGATTGAGAAAGGCACAGGAGAAGATTCTCCCTTGCCCATGTGGAGTTTAGACACGTGTGCTAGCTGAATTATTCACATTCCTCTCAAGACTCCAGAGCCAAGACTAGACTATCCCGGGAGGTCAGATTAGTAGTCATCATTTGCTTAGTTCACTAGAGACAGATAGAAAGATAGTTCTTCCATTTAAATAGAAAAACAATAACGGCGATAACCAGTAACAGGAAAACACATTTAAACACCTCCTCACAAATGAGCTGCAATTTTTTTGTGTGTTGGCGATCTAATTTTGATTCCAATGCTGTATAAGTCTCTTTAAAAAACTTGGAAACTTCCAGGGACGCTTGGATGGCTCAGTTAAGCGTCTGACTCTTGATTTCGGCTCAGGATCTCTGATCGTGGGATCAAGCCCCCATCGGACTCGGTGTTCAGCACGAGTCTGCTTTTCCCTCTCCCTCCGCTCCCCCGCCCCCACTCGTGCTTTCTCTATCAATCAATCAATCAATCAATCAATAAAATCTTTAAAAACAAAATAAAATAAACACTTCCTCATTTCATAAAAATCCAAGCACACACTGTGTAGCACAGGGACCCTCTTCTCCTTCCCAACATTATCCACCCAGTTGAAAAAGGTGACAGAGTTTTAAGATTATTAAAAAATAATCCCAAAAGCCAACCCCCAAAAGCACTTAGGAGAAAAACAAAAGCAAAGGCACATGACTATGGGACTGCAAGATAGGTAAGAATATGTAAGAGTCAAAAACCGCAGCCCATTTTTACAGCTTCTCAGGTCAGCTGTATCTGCTCCCCGCCACCCTTCGGTGGAAGCAGCAGAGACAAACACCTGTTCGTGTGGAAGGATCCACCGCTGTGAGGCGGCTTCCGTCAGTCCTGCACACGTACGCACGCCCCCCACGCACGTTTCAGACGTGAGCGTGCTAGCCACGCGCCCACACCGCTCACCTGGCTCCACTTCATGCCATCCGCTGGACTGACTGCCGCTGCCCGGGGAGCGCCCTTGGCCTGTGTAAAATGGCTCTTCACCAGGACTGTCCATTTCATCCTCCACAGACTTGAGGCGCTTCGTGGAGCTGAAATAACAAAGGGGACATGTTTAAAAGCCATCCAAACCACCTCTCTTGGATAGCGCATCTCTGGTTGAAAGAAAGCCAGAGGAGGAAGCCATTGGGCAACTTGATGTAGTTGTAGCACTCTTTTTTAGGCTTCTTGTTCAGTGGAGTGAGTCACTGGATGTGGAACAAAGTCTTGGGCCTGTGTTGTTCCAAGTATCTGGGTTTGATTTTTATTGTCCCTCAAGTTGCTGCTGCCGCTGCCACATCCTGTTCCTTTCTCCCTTGAGGAACTGGTGGCTGGCTCCTGCTCCCATCTTCACCTGGAAGTGTCTGTGGGAAGACGGCATTTCGTGTCTCCTCAGGCAGCGGCGGGGACCTCGCCATCAGCAGTGTCCCTACACATCACTCAATCCCTCTGGCACCCCAGAAAGGATAAAGATCAGAGTTCAAAGCCCTTCAAGAAGAGCTTGGATTGCTTTTCTCTCTCTCTCTCTCTTTTTTCCTGTTTTCTCATCTTCCACTTGGATCTGTTCATTCAAAAAGTATTTGCTGTGCAGCTACCATAGTCCAGATTCTGATGGAGATGCTAGAGACAAATACAATGCTCCAAAGAGATAAAGATGGGGGGGGGGGGAAGGAGTACATTTCCCTCTGAGAACTAGGGACATGGAAAAAAGTGGCCCAATCCTTCTTATGCCCTTCCTCTTTTGATGTCTACACAGAGGTCACCAAAATGAAGTTCTGGATATTTTTTATTTTCGGAGAGGTATGGTTGAGAAATCTCCAGAATGCATCTTGTTTCCTCCAGTTGAAGGACTGAATTTTTCTCCCAAGTTGAGGCTTCAGGAGTGGAAAGATAGTGAAATGCCATGTTGCTAATATGTTCTAATTGTCTTAATCGATTATGTCACTAACATACTATCAGAATGAATAGATTTCATATCCAGTGGGAGTGCCCTCTGGGAAATCTCTTCCTCACGTGTCAGGGTACAGATTTTTTAATATGTTTTCATTTATCAAACGCGTGTTGTGTCCCTTCTCTGTGCTAGGTGCTGTGCTAAATGCTGGGATATCGAGATGCATCAGCCATGGCCCCTGTGTCCATGGAGTTCGCGGTCTAGCAGATAGAGATGCAGGGGCAAATAAAATTGTGCAAAAGAGAAATGTAGGTATTATGATGAAAGCACATATAGGACACAGTGGACTTCTTGATGAAAGAAGAAAACAGTGATATGCCTGAGAGGTTGGGAAAAGCTTCCCAAAGGAAGTAGTTCCTGCACTGTCTGTATGAGTGAGTGTCGAGGAGACAGGCGTAAGGAAGGAATGGGTACGGATAGGCTGGTATTCAGCTGATGCACCACTCAGGCAGCCATTTTTATTTCAAAATATGGAAATACTTCTTTATCAATCGGCGAAGTGTCACCATCTCAAGTTTCCCCACCCTTGCCACCCCACCTTTGCCCCAGGGCATGCTCGTGATCCAAAAACTAAAGGGTTAACATCGAATGCATCTGGGGCATTCCAGGACTCAGCCTGAGCACTGTGGCAGAGCGACATCCGTTCTAATTGGTACGCTCATGTCACACAGGTTATTGGATATTCTGAACATTACTCCCTGGAGGGAGGTGTGTATCAGGCAGAAGCAACATCATGAGGAAGGTGTGACACACGCAGAGAATTGCCAGGTTCGTGGCCTGGCTGAAGTCGAAGTGAAAGAAGGGGGTGGAGGTGACAGAAGATGATACGAATCTGGATTTTGTCCTATCAGCCATGGAGACTCCCTGAACAAGTTTCAACAGAGAGTGACATCAGAGTCGATTTCAGAAAGGCCGCTCTGGTAGTTGTGCAGATGATGGCTTTGGAAAAGCAAAGGAAAAAGAAGGAGATGGATCCTACAGGCAGCGAGACAGTGAAGAGGCGATGGCTGCAATCTGAATAAGAAAATGTTGAGGACCCAATGTAAGGCAAGAAATTCTAATTATTAAAGTTGGTATTCCAGTATGCTTTGTCTTTAAGTTCTGTTCTCATTAAAGCCAGACCACAGGAAAGCCCCATATCTGTAGCATGCTAGCTTAGAACCCAAAGCAAAACCTTTAATAGCTAATTTTATGTTCTTCACTTGGCATTCCTTGAAGTTCAATGAAAAATAGCCACTTGGAGAACTTTTCTATAATATATGTGAAACTATATCAAATAGAATTTTTTTTGTAGAAGGATGTACACAAAAAATTCCTTCTCATACATAAAACCAGAAAAAAATACGGTCTCTTTGCATGAATTTCTATTCTTTCTTTTTATCAGAAAATGCAGCTTCTATAACCGCGTGCCTCCCCTTCCTGCCTTGGCAACCAGGAATCTCAGGATTAAATGTAAGGTACAACTCTTGGGTCAGGCTCCTGATATAACAGTCTATCCTATTTTTCCATATGGTTTCTGGCTTCTCTGTATTTATTGGTACCTGATGTATTTAAAACTTGAAAGTCACTTGAAACCATTTTGGAAGTTGGTAGAATACATGTTAAAAACAAAATAAATATTTCCCTTATGTTTCCTGGCAAATAAAAGGCAAGACCTCTATGTTCTGATGGGACTGTGAGATCTGTAAGGAAAGGACCTTCTTCTTCTTTTCTTTTTTTAAATCTCTAGTGCCTAACCACAGTGTTTGGCTAATAGCAGATGCTCAAAAACTGCTGAACTGGGCTACTGACTTAGAAACAGCCATATGAGTACTTGTGACAAGCATTCGCCCAAGTGTCATGATTCAATGAGATCCAATGCAAAAGGCCAATTCTGCCGCCTGTTATTCTTCCGTTACTAATATTTTTCTGAGTTTCTAAAATTTTTGATTTCCTTGGTGTCCTCTAATAAAATGCAAATACCCCATGCAGTTGTTAATCCTAAAGGTGAGAGTCTGTCGTTATTAGCTCCCACCTTAGTTTGCAAACAAGGACTTTTCTGAGGTTGATACGGGATAAATGTCTGGAGGGTGGAGGTACACAATGGAGGAGAGAAAAAGATCCAGGAGTGAAGCAAGTTAGAAGTGCCGGGATGGACAGGTAGAAGGCTTCCAAGACAAAGTTTACTGACCTCACAGACTTGACAATGGGCTTATCTGGATGAAGTTCTTTGGGATAAAACATATTTTATCTCAATTTTTACACAACCCCTTCTGTGATTTTGGAGATGTTTACCATGAAGGGGTACAGAACTGAAGTAAATGCCTACCCATCTCCTTTATTTATTTTTTTTATTTAGAAATGAATCATTCATGGATTTTGGTTTCTTGCTCTTGACTTTCTAACACACTGATTTGATTCTCCCAGAAACACTGGAGGAAAATAGGAAAGTACCAGTAAAGTCTCTACCTAAGGGGGAAGATAAATACTCTTTTGAGGAGTGATGTACCATCTCTTCCTACGTGTGGAATTTGTTGTGTTCCTAGCAAGTCTACCTAGAAATTAAGGTAAAACTATCACCTTCATTCTAAATATTTGTTTAATTCTGACTATATGCAAAGTGTAGAAACCTTACCTTATACCCACAAATCTGCAAAATGACTCTTTCTGGAGTGTTCATAGTACCCTGAACTGAACTACCATTAGACTGCAAAGCTCCTATTACTTGACTTTATATCCACAGTGCCTAGGACAGTGTCCTTGTTAAGAAATGTTTGTTGCCAATTTGGAGGAGTTACACGCTGTCCTCTATGGTACTGACAGTCCAGATGGGGAGGCAGGACATGTACAAATCTCAAAGATGGTAATAGTAATTCAAGGTAGCAAACACCAAGTATCCAGGAAAAATGGGGATAGTAGATATTCCTTTTTGGGGGCTTCATGTTCTGTCGTTCCTTACTGAAAGAGTAAGCCCCATTCCTAAGAGGATCCAATGTGAAAATTTCATGTTTTTAAAGTTCCAGCACACCTGAGTTTGAATGTAGACTCTTCCATTTACTAGGTCTGTGACCTTGGTCAAGTTACTTAACTTCTCTGGGCTCTGGGTTGATCCGCTGTTAAATGGCGACACTGTCTATATTGTAAAAGTATTGTGAAGATTAAATCATAGCAGGTTTGTAAAGCATCTAATACAGTGTCTGCTAGGTGACCGATTAATATTGGCACGGCATGAACAAATATTGATTGGTTGATGAAATTTTCTATATGTAAATCTGGGGTATTCTTCTGGGCACATTTTCTAACCTGTACACAGATAATTCTGCTGAGTCTATATATTTAGAGAATAATTTAAAAAAAGAATCATCCTAGGAGAGCCTAATGAGAGTAAAACAAACATATTACCAAGTTATTAACTACTGCTGCTATTTATAATTAGCTCCTTATCAGGGTTAGTTATTTGCAGAATATGAGAATGACAGTAGCCTTTTAAATGACATTAAAAACCGGGTTTCCACTCAGAGAATCACAGCAAAAGGCAACAAAGCAGCTGGAGAAGTCAAAAGGATGGGGTGGCAGGCGGGGGGGGGGGGGGGGGGAGACACGGACTGTTTGGGATGTCCATGGTACATGCGCAGCACACATATGAAAAACAAACAGCCCATCAACTTTTAAATTAATCACTGCCCACAAGTATTTGCAAAGCTTTTTCATGTTGACTGAGTGCAGTTACACACAATGTCCCCTCCATCAGCAAACATTCAAAATCCTCAAAATGTATTAACACCCGAATGGGTTCACGATCTCATTCTTTCATTATAAATGTACTTTGGATTTCAGACTTTTTTTTTTTTTCTGAGGATCTGATGCTACAGGGAACTAAGGAGAACCCTTAAACAACATGAAAGATGAGCGTAGGATCTGGTGGTTATATTTAGGGAATAACTGCTTCTTTAACTGTCTTCAAGGTATTCGTCATGATGAAGCTGATTCTTTTTTTCTTTTTCTTTCTTTCTTTCTCTCTCTCTCTCTTTCTTTCTTAAGTAATGCTGGTTAAAATATATAAAGTCAAGGTAAGAAGGCGTCGCCACCAAGGAAAATTTCTATAATCTGGCCATTGTTTTAAATCATAAAATTCCAGGGCTTGCTTGAAAGAAGAATATACCTTTGTGAAACGTTTTTCTGCCAAGTACACAAACATTAAAGATCGTTCTGCACCATTCTTTTCTTGGTTGTCACAGTCCAGTGCTAAAGCCAATTTGTAAAAGAATACTGTGGGTTTAATGCCTAATCCCTTTCCTTCTGGTACCGGTTATCTAGAGACAACAGGATCTTGCAAAATGCTTCATTTTGATTGGGGCTTTGTGACCTCAAGGGGATCCAGAACCCCAGAATCCTTATCTGGTTGTGCTCTTCCAGCTTTACTTTTTTAAAGGTCTCCTGGGGCAACAGAGTTTATGAGCCAGCCCCACCCTGCCACAGGACTCCATTCAGTTTTGTGACCGCACACCTAGATATCGAATGGGTTTCATGCCGCAGGGCAACTCCAATAGCCAGGATTTTGAGATCTGGGTGAGGGGAGGGGAAACGCGCTGGGACTACGCTGTAATGTCTGCTGTAGGCACCGGGATCGGAACTGGTGTCTCCAGTGTCAACGTTTTGCCAAACAAGCCAAAACACATGCCCTTCTCCCTAGTCAAGCATTGTCCTTAATCTGCTGAGAACATGCTGTGTTTATCATCCATCCTTTCTCTATGCTTTGCTCATGTCGTCACCCCACCCAGACACTATTCCTTTTCCTTCCCATCTTGCCAACTCTAAACCAACATTTACAGCTGAACGCAAGTCAGTCTTTTTGGATAAAGCCTGCCTTAACTATTTTTGGCCTATGCCATACAATTTAGCTCATTGTTTTCTACTATATATATATTTCTGCAGCATGTGCATTTGCTTTCTCTTCCCAATAAGACTGAAAGTCTGTTGGGGCTGAACAAACTTCTCTAGTATCTTCCACCAGTGGACGCACAATCCAAGTGCCTCTAGGCTCAGAGTCAAAATCAAGGTGTGGAACCATGGAGAGCCACCAATCAAATTACCTGGTAGAGGATGTGCTGGGTAAAGACCTCCTCATTGCTCCTGGACTCATGCTGTAGTATGAAGAACTTTCCAAATCTGAGAGAGAAAAATTTGGGCCAGTTCCTGCAGCTATTGGTGCTAGAAAAAAAAATAGTGATGTTCCGTGAATAAAAGATCAATGAGAGCATATATCAGTGTCGCATGTAATACATTTTATTTCTGAATTTATACAGTAAGCTTATCCAAAATAACCAGTAATGAACTCTGACCGCCAAAGAATGTTGACAACAAAAACTGTCTGCGCCAGAAAGACTTTGTTTTATAATGTACCTTTTATCTTTTCTCTTTTTGTAATGGCAAACTGTCACCAAGGTTGCAACATTCCTGGAGGCTTTTAACAAAAAGACCTCCGCGTTTTGCTCTGAAACTTTTCTTGAATGACCAGCCAGAACATTCTCTGGGCTTTCCTAACTTTGTCTGATCCTGATCGCTTTCACTCATCGGCATTTTGGAATTCGTTCTGAACTGCAAATTCATCTTTCTGGGCTACCCATTCCCAATTTCCTGAGACGAGAAATGTGTGATCTCTCTTTGCTCTGAACCGCCTCGGTGCCTACACACACCTTCACTTTATTTGTGAGGCAGGGTCCTCAAACCACGGTTCCTGAGCCACAGTTCTTCTAAATAAAGTTTTACTGGAACACGGCCACGCCCACTTATTTACAGATGGTCTCTGCTTCCACACTGTGACGGCAGAGATTCACAGCCACACAGACACCGTATGGCTCACCGAGAAGATACTTATACAGAGGAATTTTCCGAGGTCTGACATAAGAGATGGTTAAAGATAATTTTGATTGTATGTGATTTTCAGAGCTGACTATTGTGTGAGATGTCACTCTCTGTATTTTTTTAAGGCCTGGAACCTCCAGATACCTTGTTGACAGTAGTAGCTTCATAGATATTTTTGAATGAATAAATAACACCTATCAATCTTATTTAAAAAACTCTGTGTAAAGTTAGTGGTGCAACTGTATGAGTGGAAATAACCTCTTCTTTTAAAAGATTATGCAAAAGCGGGAGCAATAGATTGATATATTATTATATTAAGGCACTGGTCTCAGAGTTAAGCCCGTGTAAGTGGATATATAAATAAGTTAAATAGAGGCTAATATCCATAAGAAGAAGGGATAATTAGAAATATCACAAACCAGGGACTTTTCATTCTTTCAACAAATGATCACTGCTATTGCCAAGAACTGGGCTGGGTGAGGAAGATGCTTAGAAGGAAGACATGGTCTTTATCCTGAAACAGCTCTGGAGGGAAGGTTGGCAGGTTATTTTCAATACAGTGTGATCAGTCCTTTGCTAGAGTTATTCCAAAATTGATATGGCCACATAGAAGTGGGTATCTAACCCAGCTGGGGAATGAGAGGTTCCGGGAGTAAAAAGACCTCAGAAAATGTGACCCCTTGGAAGATGTTAAAATGACAAGTTTGAATTGCCCAACTGGGAGGGATGGAGGCGTGCTAGGTAGGGGGGACAGCATTTATAAAAGTGAGGGAATATAAAATGAATACTGGATTTCTGATAACTCAGTGTGATGAAGTATACAGTACATGAAGAAAAGAGGGGAGGGTTAAGGTCAGATTACGAAGGGTCTTTAGGAACATGAATTTCTTTAAGAAACATGACTTTGAGCCCAGCAGATTCCCAAGTTTATAAGCTATTGAAGAGCTTATCACACTGTACTAATTGGGGGCCACTGCCACATCTAATATAATCCCTGACACCAGGAGGCAGTCAGTAAGCACTGGTCAAATGGAACTGATTGCTAGTCAAAGGAGAACCAGCAAAGCCTGAGAATATATCACCAAACTTGCCTTTATAACCTAGAAACATCATCCTGTCATGAAGGTAGGTGTGGGGGACAAGGGGGTGGCCGTTGAAGAATATAATCAGTAAAACCATAGAGGCCAGTGGAGTCATTTAAAAAAGGTAAGGTGGGGATGGGTCTAAACTCAAGGGATGATAAGGAGGAGCCCAGTGTAAGTGATTTACGAGACAGACTCAGGAAAATGTGTTGATTTCTTGAGTGCAATAATAATGGAAAAGGGAGAGTATGGGATGATTCCTAAGATTACTGCTTGGGCAACTGGGTGAATTGCAGTACCATAATAAGACTCTGGAATAGAGGAAAGGTTGGAAGGGATACATATTATCTAAACACTTAGTTGTTCGATTACTCGCAATGGCTAAACCTTAATCATAACTGTCATTATATAAAAAAGAGTCACTGCTAAGAAATGGAAAGCTCTGAAATTCACATACACTTTCTGAAATTCAAACCTATCTCTTAATGACAGGCTGTAATGGAGGAAGGGCCTTTAGTTCAAAAACCAATGGTTGAGCTTGACAAAAAGTGTAAACAGAGTTCCAGTGAATGATTTTGCTAGTCATTCCCTAATTTGCTTTTTCAGCTAAATTTATTTGCATAGTTTCCCCTTTTATTCCATAATATTTTATAGATGAAATAGGCTGGGGGGGGTGGGGAGGAGATTACTCCAATACGTCACCCCTCATCCCTCTCAGCAGCCTGATGTAGAACAGGTATGTATTAACGTTTGTGCCTTCCTGGAGCTTAAAGATTCACACCTCTCATTAAAGAAGAGGGATGAGGCTGACCGGTGTCAAGGGTCTGGATTTAGATTTTCTAAGTTTTGGGATGAGGTTCGGGCCTCAGCTGAATGGCGCAGCTGCTTCATTCCCAAGCACCAGCAGAAGTGCGCAAGCCTCACTCCCACCCTCGGAAGGAAAGATAAAGCCAGACGTGAGTGAACGGCCTGGCTGGACTGAGAGGAGAAGTCTGGGGCCCTCTGCCCAGCTGCACCCACACCTCACATTCTATTGACCACATTGCACCATGGAAAAATGTCTTCTGCCTTGATTATCTTATTAAAATGTCAAAGGAGCCAGGATAGGTGAAGAAAGGAAAATACAGTGTAAATACAGTCTGCACACCTCTCAGAGAGAATAAAAAAATAACCAACCCACAGAAATGTTCCTTCGCTTGTCTGTATATTTACTTCCTGTGAAGCACTTAGCACACTGGCTTTGTAACTAGCAAAACGCTTATCAGGTGGGCTGGCGGAATTGTGATACTTTCTCAAAGTGTCTCTTGGAGTTATAGTGCATAACTTCAGGGCTTGACAAACTGCTTATGTGCGTCTTCAATTTTGTAACATCATTAAATTTCTGAAATGAGAATGGGTTTCACAATGTGGGTTAAATAATCCTAATAAAGTGCTGACCCAAACTCTGCATTCTTCCAAAAAGTCTTGTCAGGAAACACTCCCCAGTACTGTCTGTGTGTATGCATCGTATGAAGGTCAGCCGATCGGAATGGAATCGGGAGTCAGTGACACTATGACAGTTAAAGAGAAAGCCCCATGCCTGTGGGGAGGGGTCACTGTTAAGTGTCTCCACAATGGGCTGGGTATTCCCAGGGCCTCTCGTCTGGGAGAACAGGAAGAGCCTTAGAGAGAGGTATCTGAGGAAGGTGGGCTTTCAGCAGGTTTTCCCAAGTAACTATGGAGCATTTTATTTTTTATACCTAACTTCATCCTCAAATCAACCTCTTTAGGAAAGTCCCTCTCCTAAATGAGAAAAACTAATCAGCCCCAAAATGAGGTTAACTGGTTTGCCATGGACTGCGGAAAGGCAAGAAAAAGGGAGGGCCAGGATTAAAAGTCAAGGGTATCTCACCCCAAAACCTGTTGCTTTTCTTACCCTACTACCCTGCCTGCTGTAAACAATATTTGCCTTAAACTTCAGATGATAAAAAGGTATACAGTGTCTCTGTCTCACAAGGTTTACTACAGAGTGGAAGGATAAAATAATACTTGACTAATTCAATGCTGAATGTGTTCAATCTCATAGGAGGAATGCAACAGATGTGTTAGAAAAGTTCAAAGGAATGAGAAATCATATTGGCTTGTGGGATGAGAAAAATGTCTGATTCCAGGAGGAGTTGGGCACTGAAGCTAAGCCTTCAAGGATGGGAGGATTTAAAGAGGCTGAGAAAAAGAGGAGGGTTTCTAGGCAAATGACAGAGTATGTGCATAAGTTTGGAGGCAGGAAGTACAGTTAGTGATCTGTGGGATCCATGATGGTTTCTGAGTAGGGAAGTGATCATTGTTGAATCTGAGCAACATTAATATGACAAGAGCCTACAGAATGCACCAAAGGCGACTAAGGTGGGGAAATCAGTTGGTAGGTTGATGCACGAGTTAAGAGGGAAGGGAGGCCTAAACCATGCTGTCTGGAAAGAAAACAGAATTTTCACAGTGGATATCTGTCACCTTCATAAACAGGTACAAAAGATCTGTGTCCGGTTGTGCACTATGAAAGGGCATACACGAGCAAACAGGTCAAACTATCCCAACAAATATAAAATATCAATAAGATGTATATAACCCAAGGCACTTCTTAGCTAATAATGGTAGTAAGTCCTTTTGGCAAATGAGGGAACTAAACGTTGTCAAGGGTTAAATGACTTGAACAATGTCTGCCCAGGATGTCATGCTGGGCTTCTGAAGCCAAAGACTAACAGCCTGCCTGATGTGTTACAGAGATTATGTAGCTACTGCCAATCAAAGGTGGGGATGTTAAGGAAGGATTGGACCAACCACAACACCTCCTGTCTGTTCCATATATTGTGAAACCTGATTTTGTTCCACTTGTACTTGACCCTAGGCTCTATCGTTCTTAAATTATCTCACCCATGACATTTTCTCCCCCACTAGATTGAGTGCGTTTTGAGGACTGTAAAGATAGACATCCCAGGGCATAGAAAAAGTGCTGGTGTGGGCCTAGGCGTGACTGTCTAGGGTTTCAGCCTTGCCAATAAGCCCCTGTATAGCTGAAGTCATTTAAACTCTTTGGACCTCAAAATTCCCATAACAGTTGTGATAGAAACACAAACTCACCACCAATGCCAAGGCCATCGCCACCACAATAACAAGAACCAGTGTTTATTAAGCATCATTTATGGGCCAGATGCTGGCCTGAGCCCTCTAAACACATCATCTCATTTAATCCTCAGGACACTACCAGGGAAGGATTGAGGTACCAAGAGG